ATCAAATACTGTGTATATATATATATATATATAGATATATATATATATATATAATCACACACACAAATATGTGTGTATCTAAATAACAGACTTAAATGAAATTTCAAGTGGGAAAAAATGTAAATGTTATTCATCCAGTCGTTACTACCCTACATATGGCTTCTGGACGTCTTTATATCATCTGACTACTCATGGTGTAAACCCATGATATCATATGACAACAACTGAGTGGCATAACATAACGTGATTTGGTGAAATTATTTTTAAAATATTGTCCCTGTTGCAAAACAAATATCTGTTGTAAATAAATTATTCAGCATAATCGTAATAATAGTAATTCTTCTTAAATATATTTATTTTGTACAGTCTATACACAAACGTTTGAAGTTTATTGGTGTTGTAAAAATTATATAATATTAAAACATTTTGTTGTGTAAAATATTATATTAGCGCTCTTAATCGTAAATACGATTTCACATTTATATGTTTTAGCGCTTTTATTAACATGTCGTTTTAATAAAAGCGCTAAAAAAAATTTAAAAAAATTAAAAAAAATATAAAATATATAAAAAATATATAATATAAAATCGTATTTACGATTAAGAGCGCTAATATAATATTTTACACAACAAAATGTTTTAATATTATATAATTTTTACAACACCAATTATATGTTTTAGCGCTTTTATTAACATGTCGTTTTAATAAAAGCGCTAAAAAAATATAATGTAAAATCGTATTTACGATTAAGAGCGCTAATATAATATTTTACACAACAAAATGTTTTAATATTATATAATTTTTACAACACCAATAAACTTCAAACGTTTGTGTATAGACTGTACAAAATAAATATATTTAATCAAACACAAACATGACGCATATAAGATACAAATTAATTCTTATTAGTTAATTTATGCGTGTTTAGAACTGCAGACTTTCTCATTCACAAGATTTTATTACACAGTGCTCAATATATTTGTAATTCCTTCCAAAAATAACACAGAAAAGAAAACATCTCAACGATTTTACCGGAGATTAATTTTAAGAACAAATTTAGTTTACAGTGGGCATTGACGGGGACAATCCAATGTACAATTGAGCATATCTAAGCAAATAATTCATTTATACTGATAAATACTTTTTGTAGAGTTTTACGTGTTGAGAGGATCATAAGATGGTAAACAGTTACTAAACCAGAATGCGCCACCGATTATTTTACTGAAATTTAACCATCATCACATCTTCGAAAAATGACTTTCTGTATATTTCAGCACGAAGAATTCACTGGTTCTTAAGTCTGAAGAACAAGTTACAATGCCTATTTGACGCCTTCGTATAAGGAAACATTCTAATTTGGCCAAAACTCCTGGACTACTCAATTACGTACAATAATTCTGGCCTTCGTTTCTTTGTTATTGATTTATTCCTTTAAACCAGTTAACTAAGTATGAAAATCAAAAGTTAATATTAACATAAATAACAGTTTTCCCTGAACGGATTTGTTTAGTGATACATTTAAGGTGTTAAATTAGAATTAGTGGTACGCCAGCGAAAAAGGTTCAGAACCCCTGCTTTAAAATATCATAGAAATACTAAAATAAACCGAAGAAAATTGAGTTTTACAATATCGAAAGAAATGTCTTCTGCAAAGTTACTATTTTTAAATAAAATAATTCAAAACACGCCTACACAATTTAACAAGTGAAATTGACATTTTAAAAACAAAACGTTTGCTTTTCTAAAGTAGTCTAAGATTTGGTTAAGAAAATTATAAAAATAAATAAAACATATTACGAAGTGGCATACAACATAAAGATGGCTGTCTTCTTGGTTGTTTCGTTGTATAGTCTGACACTCGCCCTGATTACTGAGGCAGCAAGCACGACCGAAATGTAGGTAAATTTTTCCCATAAGACATTGCGCCATAACCTAGAAGACAGTCATCATCTTATTCGCCACAGTGAGAAAATGAAATCTCTCCTGACAGATAATACAGTTTTATAAAGCATGTACTTTGAGACAAAAAGTGTTGAACACAGGCGATATCAGAACACTGCGCGTGTCCCCTACCTTTTCTTAGCGATGACAAAGCTTCGACAATGAGTTTCTGGTTGACGCCACATAGATGGGGCATGAGTTTCTCGCATTTCTTGTGACAATTCACATCGCAGTCTGCAAAAACAAGGCAATCTTTCCACACAAACACTAAAAGCAACCCACAACTGTTCAGTAGGAAGATGGAAAACATTGTGGACCATGAAGTTGCAAAGTGCATGGCTTTTAACATTCATTCGATTAAAATCTGCACACTTATTAATGTAAAGTACTTAATTCTCTGCAGATATGGTAATATTTCAGTCATATTTCGTGATTTTCCTCGGTCACTAGGAAGGAATGCACATTCTCAAAAGGTTTAATTCGAGAGATCCCACGATAAAGACTCGATTCAGGCAACAGTTCTCCTGAATAAGGGTTTTAATGGTTTTCCTCAGTCCTTCTAAGAAAATTCTGGTATAGTGTTTTAAAACAGGACTTGACAGTTTCTCTCCATAAATCGCCATATCATCGACGCTGCATAAGTAGTGTAGTTGATGAATTATTGTTAAATAACCGAATCATTAAATAATTCATTTAAACACGATAATAACCCCATTTATTATTTAGAGGTTGATGCAGTGTTCATTATCTAAAGAGACCTGGATTGAATTTCAACGATAGATACATTTTCAAATAAAGTAACAGCTCGTCACATACAAAAAAGAAAACAGATCCTATTGTCAAAAGGTCCTTATATCGAATATGACGGATTATAAACAAAAATCCTAACGTTTATAAGCAGTTCATTTTAATGCAAATATGTTCTGTCAGATTTCACGCCCTTTAAACAAATTAGTAAGGTGCAAAATGAAGTCATTTCAAAAGAGTTTTGAATTCTATTACACTATCAAATGAATTTCAACGATAGATACATTTTCAAATAAAGTAACAGCTCGTCACATACAAAAAAGAAAACAGATCCTATTGTCAAAAGGTCCTTATATCGAATATGACGGATTATAAACAAAAATCCTAACGTTCACTAGTAATGTTGGAAAAGGTTCAAGTGGACGAATACAGATTCATTTAAACTGTCACGATGGGAATCGATCTGACAGAAAATTGGCTAATCCTCTCGAAAAACTTTTAAATTCTGCAGTTCTACCTTCGAGACTCAGTGATGGGAGAATTACAACAATAATGAACAGAAAATTATAAACAGGCGAATTTTACGTACGATTTTAAATAGTTAATACTTCCAGCTGCAGAGGACCTACGTTCTAAAAAGTAATGTACTTTCATTCTTATAATACAAGAGGCGGTTTAAGAGAGATTTAATGATCTGACGGCGTCAGAGATGTCGATATTGATCTTCTGGGTTGTAACGCCGTGTGGATTTGTAAACAGACACTAACGCTGGTATATGCGTACAAGTCCACATGGCGTTAGAGCTCAGAGACCAACTCGACAAGACACGTTTTTGTTCATGAGCCAGAAATTTTATCAAAGTGAAACGTTTGAACAAACTGAAGGATTTTCATAGCAGTTACTTCACAGTTACCAAAACTTTGGAGACGTCAATTTATTGACAAAAATAGTGCCAACATTGAGACTGTGTAAACTTCTGAAGTAAAAGTGACACGTGACTTAATATAGATTCCTGTAAGTTAATCTGAGTAAAGTTCTTCGAAATATACGGAACTTTTATTATGGAATTATTTTGCGGAATCTAAATAAATAACATGGCGACTAAGCGCAATCTATAATAATTGCTAGTTACATGGTGATAACTAATGAAACGATAAAGAATATTTGCGTGGATATCATAAACAGATTAACGAGTTTAATGTGAACGACTTTTAGTAACGTTATTGCAATATTCAAACCTGTAGCAGTAAGATTTTAAACTCTTTTATCCTGTTACGTTTTTGAGATCTGCTGAAATATAGAGGGAATTAAATAATTATGAATGTTTAGTATTATACTGAACATTCATAATTATTTATTTTTAGCTTATGCTAACTTCGCCATATTTAATTTGAAAAAAGTAGACGTCAGAAATTATTTTTGTTAGAGTTCTGAATTTACAATCATTTACGTAACTTGGATTTAAATAATTTTTTATCAAAATTATCAATTTATAGCAATAAAATTATGAACTTGAGGCTAATGTTAAAAGAAAATAATTGCTTAACGTTATTTTTACAATTTACTTTGTACACCAGAAATTTAAATTGTGGTTATTATGAACACCGGCTTCTAACGACAGAACTACGGCATAGAATACTCAGCATTCTTCAAGAAGTCGCTTCAATATTTTGTCCACAAGAGCAACACAGCCAAATGTAACCCTGTTCTGTACAGAACTCATTAAGCCTAATGCCCTGTAATACAGATCTCAGCCTATATTCGATCAAATCTTTTTGTTAAATTTATGTAACGTACAAAAGTAAGAGTTCTGACTCATGAGTAGATGGTCGTACGATCGAATCTCACAAACTTATGTTTGCTTCAAACTGTAAGTATGTACATTTGCATGCAGGCTATTTATATTTGATGTCATCTAACATTTTTCATTTCAGAATCTTATTGTTAAGTGGAGTTAGTGTCTCGCAACGCACAATTTTCAGTGTCCACCATATTGTTGGTGTTCACTGCAGGGATTATTAAAAATATTGAGGTAGGGTTGTATTCGAACGATAATGCTTATACCAAGTGTGATGAAAGTCGGTATCGGTCAACTTATTCGAAAGTATAAGGGTAGAAGACAGCGTGGCGATGAAAAATATATACCGTCAACTTACTAAGAAGGAAGCGTCCAATGAAGGCAGAGTACAGTCTCGATTATACGACCTTCAATTGTACGACCTTCGATTATCCGACCTTCGATTATACGACCTTCGGTTATACGACCTTCGATTATACGACCTTCGAATATCCGACCTTCGATTATACGACCTTCGAATATCCGACCTTCGATTATACGACCTTCGATTATACGACCTTCGATTATACGACCTTCGATTATACGACCTTCGATTATACGACCTTCGATTATACGACCTTCGATTATACGACCTTCGATTATACGACCTTCGATTATACGACCTTCGAATATCCGACCTTCGATTATACGACCTTCGAATATCCGACCTTCGATTATACGACCTTCGGTTATCCGACATTCCGTTTTACGCGACGCGCCGTGTCGGAACGCTCCATTTTATCAACAGTAAACTAAGCATGGAGCTAATCGAATCACATTCCCCCATCACAAACCTTTTACATTTTATGTACTCAGTTGCTACCGTTCAGGCGATGGCGTCTTATTAGTCTTCGGTATTATATACTTTCTATTATCCGATTGTCCATCTGCCCCGTTTAGGTGGTATAATCGGGACATTACTATACATTGTTATTATTATTATTATTATTATTATTATTATATCGTCATTATCTTATGGTTCATCAATACGAACTCTTCATTACGTCATTAAATTAACCCAAAATACGATGTTGGGGTCAGGTTGGGGTCAACTTCACACGATGTAACGAGTTTACACAAACGAATCTATGGTGATGGAGTCTTATCGGTGCAAATATTTGATTCAAAGCGGAGAAAAAGTAAATAGGCTACCAAAAGTCATGTTTCATATGAGTACATTTTAACCTCGTCAAATAACCGACTTATTTATATCATTCAACATTCATAAATATTACGAAGATGCCTCAAAACATTGTTAATTCTTGTAATAAAAGCACATCCAATATCTGGCCAAAATACTAGGGTATATTGTCATTAAATCTGCAAACGAATCTGTATTTCTCGTGAAGGTTTGTTCGTTTTCATTTGGGGGGAAAAACGAGTTTCAAAAATAAGTTCTATATTTTCCCAAAATTCCACACTGACTCTGGCTAAGCGTCTACAATATGAATATCTACTATCATAATATTATATATGTTATGGAGCGCTTAAAACGTCTTTAGAAAACTGCCAGTGTATGAAATTGTGTCTATTATACTTCAGCCAATCACGGCCGAACAATGTTGATGTGAAATCTATTTTTGGGTGATAACACTTACCGAGACACTAATAATCCTTGAAATGTCGGATATACATTCTAATTTACAAGGTGCCGTAACTCCAAATCAGGACGAACACCAATATTATTTTTATTTCGCATGTTCAACACCTTCGGGCACCATTTTAAAATGTTTTGGAGCGGACGCTGATTAAGCGTGCTAAAATGATCTGTTGTTCTTTACTGACATTCTTTACACTCAGAGATATAAAGATTCGCGATCATAATATCAAGATCACAAGCATTTTTAATCGTTTTATTTAAGATTCTAAAAACCCCAAACTATTTGTCGATTTTGATTTTCTGGATTCTAACGGTATGCAGACTTGTACGATGTTACCACCGTATTTGAGGTACGTGTAGCCTCCATCTTCAGGGTTAAAAACACAGAGTTACAATCCAGAAGAACACAAAAGAACCTCCAAAGCCGTGAAAACCATAAAACATATTTTTGTCAGTGTCTTGCAGTCCAAGAGATAATTTGTCTCGTATATTACACAAGTACCCACATGGTTAATATTCAAATGTAATATCATTTTCACGAAACTACAAGCATGTTTCGTGAACTCTTCTGGAAACTAAAATAAACCTACATGAAGATTTCTGTCTTCTGGGTTGTTGCGCTGTGTAGTCAGATGTTTGCCTCCTTCATCAGGGCGATTCATCGCCCTGATGACGGAGGCAGTATGACCTCTGAAACGTTGGTAAACATCTACCATACTACACAGCGCAACAACCCAGAAGACAGAAACCTTCATACTCATCGCCCTGATGATGGAGGCAGTATGACCTCTGAAACGTTGGTTAACATCGACCAGACTACACAGCGCAACAACCCAGAAGACAAAAATCTTCATACTCATCACCCTGATGACGGAGGCGGTATGACCTCTGAAACGTTGGTAAGCATCGACCAGACTACACAACACAACAACCCAGAAGACGGAACCTCAAATCATACACGAACCTACATATTCCATAAAAGGCAGGGAATTTCTTGACTGACAGACTATTATCTTCTCAAGATGGACTTTGCTTCATGAAGTTAGTCAC